GTGTATCTGGTAGCTTCACACAGAGCCTCCAGATTCTGTGCCCCCCTGACAACACTGCAGAGCCCAGAAACAGGGGCTGCCTCTTCTTTCCCAGGTGCAGGGGCCAGAACAAAGGCCTTCTGCTAAGTTGTGGAGCTAAGATACCAGGAACAGAGCAGGGGCCTTGGGAGGCCAGGCTAGTCTGTCCTAATGGGCTATCCTGCTGGGCTGGGGGAGAGGGGTGTGCCTCTGGCTGTCCTCAATCCATTGGTCCCTTGTTGGCATCCTATTGTAAAAACCATAACATTAAAATAAGAATAACGTTATTTTAATTTCCACTCAGTTTTGCAACCTTAGATTTCCTCCACATTTGGAGAAGGTCCCACTATGTAAGAATTTGAAGAGAGGAAAGAAGAGAGAGAGGAGAGAGGAGAGGAGAGAGCAGAGAGCAGAGGGGAGCTGGAAGAGGGGGGAGAGGGGAGAGAGAGAGAGAGAGAGAGAGAGAGAGAGAGAGAGAGAGAGAGAGAGAGAGAGAGGGAGGACAACAAAAGAGGCAGAGATGCTCTGCTCTGTCAGGGAGAAGAAAATAAAGAGAAATCAGGCTGGCTTCAAAGGGCGCATTTCCATAATTGCCCTGTAACTTTGGTAAAATAAATCTGAGCGTCTGGGAGCAGCACAGTTGCCAGATGAGTGCACTCCAAAGGCCCTGGAGGGCTGTGGCCCACTTGTTAGCAGCCTAGTGCAGTGAGAGAATGCAGGGCTGGCCACTGGCACAAAAGACCTGACATCACAGCCTTCGTGGCCAGGCCAGGCCAGGCCGTGGGCCTAGAGTCAGACTTGACCCTGCCTTTGTCTTCATCACACTCCCTGACATGGGAGACACACATGCGCTCTCCCTCTCCAGAGTAAACTAACTAGATCAATGTGTTTATGGACTGGGAAGATCTAACTGGTTGAGGGGGTGGCAGGAATTACTAGGCCCAAACTACATGACTTAAGTTTGCACCTTGTGACCACCTTCCTGTTGACTGCCTTTGGCATCAGTATCTACATGAGAAAGGCTTTAACTTTGCAAACCTCTGTCCTTCTGGGATGGATTCTCTCTTTGCCACCTTGGCAGGAAAATGGTTTACTTTCCTCAACTGACCTGACGAACTCTTGCTTTTTTCCAGGCTCACATAGTTTCCTGTTGGCTGTCTCTCACTCACCTCTACCTGCCACCAACAAATTTTAAAGAACAAAAATGCTTTACTTGCACTCTGTTTTAATGCTTCCCTAAAACAGAGCTGTGGCTTCTAGGAGAAAATAATTGCTGTGACCACCACAGACACCGTATCCCCTTACCTCCGTGATCTCTCAGCTTTGGCACTGTGGGGGACACTGTGTCCCCCTTACCACCATGGTCCCTTAGCTATTGGCGTCTTAGACTGAATCATTTTCTCACCCAAGTACTCAGCAGGTTTTACTTCTGCATCTGGGGGTTTGTACCATACATACACTGGCCTGGCTTATTTTTCTGGGTGGAGGATCACCTTGTGTCCATAGGGCCCTGAGCAGTGCCCCTGGCCTCCATCCCAAAGATGCCAGTACTAACCCCACCTGGTCATCTTCATCTTCAGGCACTGTCAAATGCCCCAGGGAAGAGAGGAGACAAAATTGCTTGGTTGAGGACCACCGCTGTATTCCTAAGACCTTTTCCCACTGTATTCCACGTAGGAGGTTCTCCAGCCAGACACCAGAGACCATCTTCAGAGGGCCCTGAGCCTGTTCCCAGGAGCAGTGGCTGATCACACAACAGGTGGACATTCTTAATGTGGTCAAGTTGGGTGGCTAGTTCAAATGACAGTGACCAATTAGAATCAGGAAGCAGTATCAGATGATGTATAGGGTACCCCCACCCCCATGATTATCTTTAGACCCATTCTTCTTTACTTTATGTCCAAACCTAACCATTGGTAGATTTGGAAGAAAGTTTGGCTGAGTTCATCTAATCCAACTCTTTCCAGATGTTTAAAATGAGCCTAAGGAGTATGAGACTTGTCTCCATTCAAGTTGGAGCAAGTTCCAAACACAGACACAATTTTTGCACATCTGCAGAGAATTTTTTTGCCCATTTTTGCCCAATGAGAATACATGCAACCAAGAAATCTAGGAGGCAGATGTTTCTAGAAGGATACAAATAATCAGACCCAAAGCAAGTCCTGGGTAAAAACTCTCAGTGAACTCAAACCAGAAGAAATCCGACATACAGTTTCTACTCAGGCATCAATCTCTCTGGTTACCTTTCCCAGGCACAGGCAGGCCAGTGATTGTGGAGCCACTGGGCCTTCCTACCCTCCACATGCCCAGAGAACACCACCCAGGAGGCGAGGCCTGCCCCCTCCTTACTCCTGGCACACAGCAGGTGAGTGGTGGTCCATGCACTGGCTCCTGGCCCTTTCATGTCACCCTGGACCTGGACCCTACTTCCTCCCGCCTGAAGTCCTCCAGAAAAAAATAGAATCAGAAACCATAAATATGTGGGCCCCAGAAACAGACAGTCACCTAGGGGGATGATTTCATTCTCCTCTGGCTCCCCGGCCCTGGAGGCTCTGCCCCTTCACAGTTCTCTGCAGATAAGGAGGGAAGCAGTGCCTCTGTTCCTTCCTCTGCTGGTTGATTATCCCATATACCGTGGAAGGCTTCACATAACCAACTGCAACAGTAGAGACCCTTCCTAGTGGGAGACTGACATTTCATTTCTACTTGAAGATATCCCATAGTCACCCACCCATACCCCTGCAACCATATCTCCAACTCTCCCATCTGGGTTTTAGGAATCTGTAATAAAGGGCAGAGGCAGGTCTGATGAGCACTTCTTTTAAAACCTAGGAGATTTGGTTTTGTTAAGTTATTGGTATTGGGCTCAACTGGGGATCAGAGGAGACAGAACTACATGGATACAGAGTCACCACCAGGGTTAGGCTGATTTCCCCCTGGTACCTCCATTCCATGATTTTTCAGGGCAAGCAGATTGGGCCTTGGCCAAGGGCATGGCCTGGGGATGAGATGACCGGAAACCCTGAGCAGTCTATGGGCTTCGCTGTGGAGGGACCCTACACCTGCTGTCAGATCTCTCCAGGCCCATTTCTCTCCCACTCAGTCCAATCACTCTCCCTTGGTGGACCCCCAGCCAGCACAGGGGCTTAGGGCTTTGGGCTTACTCTGTGGCCAAGCCCATCACAACCTTCTCGCTGGCTCTCCCTGGGGAAGTGTTCTCCCTCCTTGGTAGAGCTGGGGTTGCAGAGGCTCTAGAGTTGCCTTAAGACGATATGTCACGAGGGTTATGCGCGACGACCTAGGAGCGAGCACTTGCATGAGATCTCTCTCACCCTGACATCACCCTGCAAGGCAGGCAGCCAATGAAAAAAAGTGGATTCTCTGCCCAGTCTTCACCTGAAGTAAATGGGCAGCAGTGTGCTGCCAGAGATAAGCTCCTTAAGTTCTGAGATGGGGGAAGGGTGTGGCTTTTGTAGACAGCATTGTGCTAAACAGAGTCCTGGTCCTTGTCCTGGGGTCCTGGCTTCAGATGCTCACCGGCCTAGGAAAATGGAGTCCAGTTCTTTCCCTGTGAAGGTGCTTGAGCTCCAAACATACTTAGCAGAAAAAGAAAATCACTGCAGAGAGGGATGTCTCAGGCCTCTGGGAAGGGAACCAGATGAAAGATCGAGCCCCCTGCTGCCCTTGTGTTTGCTGAGGTCCATCCCTCCTCGCAGGTCTCTGTTCCGGGATACACTGTGGACACGCTTGATTCCCGCGCACCTGACCACCCTAACCTCAGTGCGAGGGTCCAGGCCGGCCCTGTGCTGGCAGCTGTGTCATCGTGGACCTGTCCTGCTCTACTACCCTCACCTGCCTACCCTTGAAGGCACACAGCGTTATTCTGTGCCTCCTTCCAGACTTCCGGTGACCTCGCCAGCTCTTCATCCGTCCCAAACGTGCAAGATTGGTCACAAGCCCTGCTCTGCGGCTCCGCTCGCTCCGAGGCCCAGTGGCATCTGGTTATTCTGGAAACTTAAGGTGCGGGACACCACAGGAGTGCCTTAAAGGTACGCCACTTCGAACCCCCAGGCATCACTCTCCCAAGCGTGTCTCTCAACTTTCTAGCGTCACAGTTGGGCTAGCCGGACAGACAGTCTCCAACCGGTCAGGGACACCGAGGTCACAGGGCCCGGGCTGGGCTGGCTGCAGAGGCCGGGGACGCTAGACGACAAGCGTCCCCTTCGTCCTGTAGAGGGAGCTCCAGCCCCGTTTCTCCGCTGCCTCCCCCCACCCCCCGCCCGCCCCATTCCCCGCCCGACTCCTGCAGCAATCCCAACTCCAAAGGTGCAGAGCTGGACCACCCCCAATCCGCGCCGGGACCCCTAAAAGCGACCCTATCCCGGACACTTGGGGTAAACGCCCCTTAGTACCTGGACTCAGATACTACCGAGCCTGTTTCCCATTTCCAACTCCGGCGGGGCCACACGGTCACCTAGCAGGAAGGACATGCACCTCGGGCTCCTCTACCGTATCCCCACACCCTTGTACGAGGCCCACGGAGGGTGTAGTGAGGTAGGAAAGGGGCCTGGAAGCTGCGCTTGCACAGCCCTTATAACTAGGATCCCGAGCAAGAGCCTAGAAGGGAGAAAGTCGTAGCCTACGCCCTGTGGTCCAGACGCTTCCCAAGTCTTTCTGCTAAGTTACCTGATAAGGCCCCAAAGCCCCGTGGTTGCTTCAGGGGCCCAGTGGATAAAGCCCAGTTTCCCAGCTCCTATCTGTCCTCTCTCTCTGGGGCCCAGGCACCTCCATTACCCTCTCTTGTAGAGCACTCAGCCCTGCCACCTCAGCACTGACCACATTCCAGCCGCCACTGCTGTCCCCTAGTCCTCTGTTCCACGGATTCCTTAAATAACCAAATGGAAAATCCAAAAACAACAACAACAACAAAAAATCCCCCAAAGAACCATCAAACAGATCCATCCAGGGGGCAGACCGGCTGGTTATAGTCAAAAGTGGCAACAGCTCATTTATTTAGCCAAAAATAGATACTTTCTTGTACAATTTGGTTCACACATATGTACATTTTTCTGTATATACAAAATGAGTCAGACAGGCGTGATCTCTCTGAAACTCCACCCTCCCAAATCAACCGAACAAACAAACCTCACAATAGCAGCTAATGTGGGGCAGACAGAAGCAATTTGGGGAGGGCCGAGGGGGACTGGCTTTATTTCTTCTTTCTTTTTTTGCTTAGTGTTTTTTTTTTTTAGGTACTCATACACAGACATGCTTGCAAGTCGTCACTATACAAAGCAATTTGTTTTTACAATTAGTACAACGATTTAAAAATTGTTGACAGACAGAACTAGGATGAGGAGAGAGCCGATAACACCAAAGCAGCGTCCAGGTGGTTCTGGGGCCTGGAAAAGAGTGCGAGCAAAGGGAGGTGAGATTAAGGGACCCTGAGGCCACTCAGGGCAGTGACACCCTACTGGGACTAGGGTCAGACACCAGGAGGTGTTTCTAAGCACTGCGGCTTCAACTGTGAGTGTATGTGTTGGGGTTTAACTTTAAGCAGAAGGAGGTGGGCATCATGTAGAGGCCTCCTGCTCCAGATGCCTGTTGGTGGAACCAGGTTCGGGTTCCCCCAACTCTGTGCCCACAGGTTGCGCCTGGGGTACTCCGGGCTGAGGCTGGAAGGGCTCTCTGGGCCCAGAAGATGTGGCTAGAGTAGGTTTTGTCCTTTTTAAAAATGACTTCCCAGCTACTTCCCTCCCATCCCCCCCCGGGGGGGGGCAAAGGCTTCTGCGATTGGGTCTGCTTTTTCCTTCTCTTGTCTGCCGCGTCCCCCATTCTGCTGCCCAAATTCGGGGTCTCTTACCGCCTGGGCACCGGCTGGAAAGCTGTCTTGAGTAACTTTTTTTCCACTTCCAAGGCACTACAGCGATCTGTGGGAAGTGAGGGGAAGAGAAAGGAGGCCTTTAGAGTGCTTGGTCCAAGCCTCCAGGCCCGGCACAAGAGCGGAGAGGAAAGCCCTGTCCTTTCCCGCTAGCCCAGGCGAGACCCCCAGAACACCCTCCCTCGGTGCCCTACACTTCGCAGTCACCTGTTCCACCCTCTGGCTCCGTGGGCCGAGCGTAGGCGGCGGCCGCAGCGGGGTGACCGGCGACTCCGGGAAGTCCCAGCAGGTGCTGAGGGGCCGAGCCCAACAGGGAAAGCGGGTGAGGCCGAGGGCCAGGCGGCGGGCCCGGGAACGGCCTGTTGGTCCAAGCCGGGAATTTGCCAAGCGGCGCCGAGACGAGTCTGTGAGCTGCGGCGGCTGCAGCGGCTGCGGCGGGGGAGAGCTGCAGCGGCGGGGGCGCTACGGCTGCCCCGGGAGGAGAGCCTCCGGCTCCAGCGGGCGAGCGGCGAGGGTTGTCCGGGCTGGTGGCCGTCTCGGCCAGGGACCAGATCTTGGGCTTCTGCAGGGCGGAGGAGGGCGCTGGTGCGGGAGCGCAGGGGTCCAGGCCCGAGGGAGGGGAGGGTGGAGACGGAGGAGCCGTGGCCACTGGCGGTTGCGCTGAGGCCAGGCTCAGGACCGACAGTGGCCGCTCCTCCAAACCTTCGGAGCTGTCTTCCGAGTCGCTATATTTGGAGTCCGAAATGGGTCTTAGGCCGAGGTCGCCGTCCCTGCGCGTGGCCCCTGCCAGGCCCAGCTCAGACCCGGCTGCTGTGCCGTCTAAGTTTTCCAAATCGATCTCCTCGTCCTCGTCGTCCACCAGGCCCTCGCCCCCCGTGTCCTCCTCCTCCCCTCCCAGCTCCTCCTCCTCCAACTCCAGCTCGCGTTTGCTATCCTCTTCGTCTTCCTCTTCGTCTTCCTCCTCCCGCTCGCTCCCATAGGCATTGCCCTCCTCGTCCGTGCGACTGCGGGGCGCCCAGGTCATCTTGTTCTCCTTCTTAAGGCGCCGGCGCGCGTTGGCGAACCAGGTGGACACCTGGGTGAGAGTCATCTTGGTGATGATGGCCAGCATGATCTTCTCGCCCTTGGTGGGGTACGGGTTCTTGCGGTGCTCGTTGAGCCAGGCCTTGAGAGTGCTAGTACTCTCCCGGGTGGCGTTCTTCGGACGGGACGGGTCACCGAACTGGTACTGGCCGTAGGGGTAGAAGGCGGGATGCGGGTGCGGGAAGGCGGCGGCCGTGGCCGGATGCTGGACCCCAGGGCTGTCCTTCAGCTCATACTGTGCGCCCTGTCGCACATGGAAAAGGAAGGGGACACGCGCGGAGGAGTGCGAGTGAGCTCCAGCTGTCGCCGCCTCCACCCGCGGGGCCGAGATCCCGGTGGTCTACTCCCACGCCCACCTCGCCCCGCATCCCAGCTCCATTCCCTCTTCCCCAGGTTCCCCAGGCTCTTACCAGCTGCGGGAAGATGGGCAGCTCGGCTGCGTAGGGCAGGAAGGCGCCGTAGCCCTGGGCGGCGGCGGCGGCGGCTGCGGCAGCGGCGTAGGGCGCCCCGTACACTGAGGAGAGCACATTGGACAGGGACCCCGAGGCAGCCAGCTCCGAGGCTCCGGCACCGGGACCGCCCCGGGCCCCTGCGCTGCCGCCGCCGCCGGCCGCAGCTCCCGGCCGCTCGGGTGGGTAGAGCGGGCGGATGTACTGGTATCCGAGCTGGGGGAAGGACATGGTGGCCCGTGGGGCACCGACGGAGAGGGGGCCGGGCCCCCGGGGCCGCCGAGCTCAGCGCCGCACGCGGGCTCCGGCGCTCATCGGGGGCTGGGCCGAGCCTGGGCCGCTCTGAGCTGCGCTCCGCGTTCGCCTATTGATCTGCTCCGCGGCGGCGGCGGCGGCGGCGGCGGCGGCGGCGAGGAGCCAGGTCAGGTCGGAACAGATTGGCCGAGATTCCCGGGTCTCAGGGCTCTGATTGACATTTCTACGGGGCCGCAAGCCCCTCCTCTCTGCGCCGCGCTCCCTCCTCTCCGCCCGCGGAGCTGTGCGCGCCGCTCCGCACTCCCCTCCTCTCCGCGAGCAGTGTCGCGCCTCGCTTCCTTCGCCCTCCTCTAGTTTACACTCCCCCTCCCCCCTGCGCTCCTGCCCCCCCACCGCCCCGCTCGCTTCCGCCTCTTCGGCTCTCTTGCTGTCCTAGACGGTGAGAAACTCTACGTTTTTTTTTTTCTCCTTCCCCTTTCTCACGGTTGCTTTCGCTCCCCTCTCGGCTCGCCGGCTGTACTTTTACCAGTTGGATTCCTCTCTTTTAAATCTCTTTCCTCACTCGCTTCTCCCTTCCTCCTTCCCGGCTTTGTGCCCTGAGCTAAGGCGCCCTAGAGTTGTAGGCGTTTAGGGTACTGTGCGAGGGGCGTGTGTCCTCCCGATCTGTGTCTGTGTGTCCGTCCCCGCCCTTCCACCCCCTCCCTAACCCTTCCCCAAATCTAGGGTCTGACGTTGCGCCCTCTTATTTGACTTTTCCTCGCGTTTGCTCCGGGAATCTCCAATCACCAGGGCTCCTTCCGGCCCGGGCGGCCCACCCCCGCGAATGCGGAGCGCCGGGTGGAGCGGGGCGGGGCGCAGGTCCTTCCCGCCCCCTCCAGCCTGCACCCGGAGAGGGAGCCGAGGCGCGGGGACCAGGGTTAGTACCGGGTCACCTCTCCCCTCCCGGCTTCCCGCTCCTCGACACTGGCGTCCCTCCACAGCAGTAGCACCCGGTTGGAAGGGAACTCGGAAGCCTGCTTTGGTCCCCGGTCTTTTCTCTACGTGTCTCCCTTTCTAGTTCTCACCTCTGGACCCCAGCACTCACTCTGATACAGGCTGGGAACTGGAAGAGTGAGCTCCAGAGAGCTTTAAAGGGCCATCTCCGTACGGAGATGACAGCCCCCTACCCCGCAGGCCCAAACCCAGCAATTTACCAGGCTAACACCTCTGGGGTGTCTGGGTGCGAACCCTTAAAAAAATGGTGAGCTTAGCTCCAGAGCCAAAGGGTGGACGGGACGTCCCTGGGGTCTAGGGGAGCGCTCAGCGAATTAGGGGAGCCCTTGGCTTTGAGTGGGGGAGTTGCAGAGAGCTTCACCGCGGAGGCCTTAGGAACTTTCGGAGAGCACTTCCAGAACTTTCTAAGGCCATTCATTTCACCACCACTTCCCCTACTTTCCGGTCCCAGAGCCAGTAGGTTTTTTCCACGGAGATCCTCCAGCTCCATGGGGGTGGGGGTGGCGGTGGGGGTGAGGGTAGTGTTGGAGAAGATTTTGATTTTTATGGTAGGATAGTTCCTAGTCTGAACTTGAAATGTCTGTGTCCAAGCACCCACCTTCACGGATTAGGGTGTGCGGTGGAAAGTCACACTGAAATTTCCGGAATTGCTGTGGCTCTCAGCTAGGCGTTTTTGGCTTTGGCGGCGACCCACAAGCGGGCCAGGCCTCCTGCGGGCCTGCAGGCGAGCCGGGTTTCTGCAGTACAGTGAGGAACCCCAGCTTAGAGGCAGAAACGCCACCTCAGAGTCGGTTGATCTAGGAATTGAATCTGAATTCTGCCAGGATGGAGGAATCTGAGGGTCCAGCTGGCCTGCCTGGTCACAGCAGGTTGGAGGAGTCCTGTTCAGTAGGGAATGAAAGTTTCTTGCGCCCTGGCCAGGGACTCCTAGTTTTGACCTCACCCCCACCTCCTGCCAACTTTCTATGAACCTTCAAATTGGTCTTAGGGTCCAGTAGGTGTGAACTCAGATAATTAAATGGGAGAGAGACAAGCGGAAGTTGGGGAAGTACCAGGTTTAGGGTTCGGCGGCATTTGGAGTCTACCCAGGCTGGGTCTGTGTGCTTTTTATCTCCTTCTGGCCAGCCTTGCCCGGTGCTGGGCTGTGCAGTCTTAGGTGAGTCTGACCAGAGGCAGCATATCAGGGCAGCTCTGGCCTTCAAATGTTTTTCTCAGAGCCTGATTTCGTTTAGGGTTAAATCTGGCCAAAGTTGTCTTACAGAATCTTGGGTTCACCTGTTCAGGAAGTCTTAGGGTTGCAGAATCAAGGATGACATCTCCCAGGATCTCCTCTAGGTTTAGACTTTGAGCCTTGCTAGACAGCCCAGAAGACATACCTAGAGTTTGCAGAGTGGTGGACCGACCAGGGGGGCGACAAAGGGAGATTTCGGGATGGGAAAACGGGTTGCACTGTAGGTGAAGCCCCCGGTATTTAGTCCAGTCCTCTCAGAAGGAAAAAAAGGAGCGTTTGAGATGTTCCCTCCGCTTTGCATTAACCAGCTGTAGACCTGGCTATGTCCGATTGCAGGGAGCAAGAAAGAGTACCGGAAGAGCCAGGCTGTTCTCTACAGTGCCGGCCAGGGGATCTCCTGGCCCAGAAGGTGAACCTCAAGATTCAGGCACGAACCCTAGAACCTCGCTTTAATTCGACCCCTCCAGGCGGCCCGGGCCCGGAGCCTCCCGGTTGCCCTGTGTCCACTTGGGAACAGCTGCGGCCTGGCCCTGAAATCCCTACCCCAGGTCGGGACTCTTGTGTCAGGTGCGGCCGAGCCCCGACGTATCGCTGGTTCTACAGAACCAGGGCAGTCGAACCTGGCTCCCAGGCGGATCTCGAAGATCTGTGGGTAGCCGAACCTTTTCCTGGGACTTTTAATCTCAGAGATCAGATCTGAGGGACACACTCGCACAGCATGCAAGGAAAAGCAGGTGCACTGGAAGTTGACTAGGAAAAGACATGCGTGCACAAACGTGCCGCTCCTAGAAGCTTCTCCATCTTCTCTCCTTCTTCCAACATTCCCAATGCACAAAGAGTTGTGGAGACCTGCGATCCGGTAGCCGCTCTCCAGTCCCGGCGCAGGGCTTCTGGAGCGGACAGAAAAGGTGCCCGCCACAGATGCGTGGAGCATTCAGCAGCGCGCGCTGGATGGGCACCAGGAGCGGTACCCGACGTGTACCCAGGGCCTCAGACCCACCAGGATCCCGGCCTGCTCTACGCACACACGCGTGGAGCTGCCAGTCCCACTATCTTCCCTCTCCTGGACTAGTTCCGCCATATGTACGCATCCCCACGACGCATCCCCGTCGTGGGGAGCCGCTGCAGCTCTGGGTCTCCCAGCCAGGCCTGGTATCTGCCCTTCCCTCCCAAGGCCCAGAGTCCCCCAGCCGCAACGCGAGCTGGCCATCCCTCTGCTTCCTGCAGACGCTGTGGCGCGCACTCCCACCGTCCCCCTTCCCCCCCCGCGCTCGGGTTACAGGTTAATGAAATGCTCGTTTTCCTCAGTCATTTGTTTTGTTTTCCTGCAAAGTTCTGATAAGTAGCTAACCAACGAAGCTTGTAATTACAATCTTACAGAAACCGGGCCGATCTGTATATAAATCTCACCATCCAATTACAAGATGTAATAATTTTGCACTCAAGCTGGTAATGAGGTCTAATACTCGCGCAAGCGATAATCCCCTCTGGATGCTGGCTTGATCAGATGTTGGCTTTGTAATTAGACGGGCAGAAAATCATTATTTCATGTTCAAATAGAAAATGAGGTTGGTGGGAAGTTAATTTCTCTCCGCTCTGTGAAGCGTAGACAAGAATTTAATGATTTAATTACAGTTGTAAGCCCTTTCCATGAGACTTAAATTGAGCTGAGAATATTTTTTTCTTTTTCTCTCTCCCTCTCCCTCTTTGGCTTTCGCGTTCTCTCTCTCCTGGCTATTAGCAGTCGCTTGGACTCGTGTCTGTATAGCCTGGCGTAACACTGGGAGGGATTCACATTTGGCTCGGAATCCGGCCTCGGAGCATCCCAGGAGGCGCGGGCCCAGCGCCGCTGCAGCTGCCCCCGCAACGCTGGCCGCTCTGCTACAGCCTCGGAGGCTACCCAGGGACGCGACCGGAAACTTTAGTACAAACTTTGACAACTTCTCTCTCCCCACGGGAGAGACCGTGGGTCCGGATGGCTGCTGTGGCAGCAGTGTCGCCCCAAGCCGGATTTGTGCGCCCGGGAGCGGGCCCTAGTTGCCCCTGCGTCTCCAGGACTAGGTCCTCTGCCTTGGGCTTTGGAGTAGCCTGCTCCACGTGGCACCCAGAATCCCAGCCTGGATGGAAAACCCTGGGCCTGAGCACGGGTGATTTTTCTTTTTCTTTTCCTCTACATGATTATCCTGCTTCCACCTGCCTCCAGTATTTTCGCCCACTTTGTTCTACCTCTGTCCTGTCTATTCCTCGCACTTTCTGTGTGTCTGATTTCTGGGTCATTTATTTTTCTCTTTCTTCCGCTCCTAGTTTGTTCTATTTGGTACTTTTTTTCCTGGGCTATTTTTAGGTCCTTTTTCTCTTTTGCCCTTTCTTCCGGTCCTCTGCGTTGTTTGTACTGCTTCCCCACTCTCCGCTTCCCGCACTTCTCCTCGCCTTCCTTTCCTCTCCCCCCCTTTCCTCCTGATCCATTCTATTTCATCCCTGGGTTTCTTGGTTTTCCCAGGCTCTCCTCTACGAGTTTATTCTCTCTACCCTCCCACTTCTCTCCAGGATCTGTCCCCTCCCCCGCCCGTGGATCTGCCTCCTTGGCGCCCCCTCCTCCTCCATCTTGGGAGATGAATTTGTCGCCTTATTGGATGCAGAGGCCAGAGCGGGGCGATGGGGCTCGGCCAACCTCGCGTGTTTTCTTCATGCATATTGAGGATATGGTAATGAGCGCGTTTGCATTGTTGCATGGAAACGATGTGCCTCCCTAGGCTGTGCAGAGCGGGTCAGGATGGTGCCGACCTAAGAGAGCCCCACCTTGGGCCCTGGGCCTGGCGGCCCTAGTTACCCACTCGGGACAAACTGGCGCTCGGGGGCCCAGGCGAGGAAGTGACCTGCCGAGTGTCCGACCCGGCCTCCGCCTCCCCCGGGTTCCACAAAGGCGCTGCGGCCTTGTTAAAGCCTCTTTGGTGGAAGCCGGCCTCGCTGCCCGGCTCCTGGCGCCGTCGGCCCACCAGCCCGCGAACGGTTTCCGGTGTTTAGAGTCCTGTGTTGTGCGCCATCCAGAGATCGGCGACTGTCTACGTCTTCTAATGGGGACACATGTTTTGCAATTCGAGTGACAGGTCGGGATGAAGCAGCCTGGTGGTGTGTCATGCCCCGGC